CCCCTTCCCCCCCCACTAATCCTGCCAAGCTGTGACAGATGGGACATTGTTTCCCATCCATCCCCACCCTTAATTCCAGGACGTATCAATCCCATTCCAGCCTCCCCCTGCCCCCCCATTCCAACCTCCATCCCAGGGCAGGTTGTTCATCCTGCAGACCAGGACAGGGGCTTTAACATGAAGGGATTTCATCCCTTCAGAGTGTCCAGGCAAAGCCCCCCCGGGCTGGGAGGGGAACTGGAGCAGATGCATCTTGGCAACTGGTTGAAACTGGGGCAGCTCTTTAATGCTTATCCAGGGCTGTTGCTCCTTAAGATCCCTGGCTGGGTTGGGTTGTGCCAGAGCAAAACTTGTCAGGGATGATCCCACCAGTCTGAAAAAAAAATCAAATACCACAATCAAGAGAGGCAAACCCAACAGATACTTTAATCCTTAGGCAAGTTTCTTTCTTCCCTAGGGGACTTTTTTGTCTCTGAAGAATTCTGGTGGGACTGAGGACTGAGTTTGGTCCCTACCTGATGATGAGCATGATTTTTTGGGAGATATTTTCATTCCTGGGACAAATATTTCCTGAAGCAGGCAGGGTTGCTGGGGAGGTGGTTAATTCCAAACTCTGAGGTTTTTTTTTCCCCTAGTTTTCTTGAAAACTGATTTTTATTGGGAGCAGGAGCTGCTGGACAGTGTTTTCTCTGCCCTCAGAGGTGGAAGGTGATAAAATCTTTTATGGCTTTATGATGGTGAGATATGACAGAGCTTGACTAGAAAGAAAAATGTTCATTTGTAAGGGCAAAGAGTGATGAAGCCTCCAGGTGCAAGGCTTGTATGGAAGCCAACTGGGTGGACTGGAGGTTCTGGTTCACTGGTGGGAGAGGAGGTGGAGAGGGAAGGTTTGGGATCCCAAAGCTGAAGGAACATGGGGATGGTGGGGATGGTCCCTGGAGCTGCAGCCCCATGAGCAGGGGAAGGATGGGCAGATGCAGGGAGGGCAGGGGGTTCTAGGGGCTGGTTTTCATGTCACAGCTTTGTCTGATCTTCATTCCTCTTCCTGCATGTCCCTGGATTTTGGGGGCTGTTGCCTGTTGGTTCCCTGAGAGGGGCAGCCATGAAGCTGTGTCACTGCTGCTTCTGGGAAGTGCAGGGATGTGCCCCAAAACACCCCAATCCACTTGATTCTGGGGCACAAATCACAAGCTTGAAGGCTGCTTCTGTTGGATTGCTTGATTCCAGCCAGTGCAGCACACGGACTGGGGAGGCTCTTGGTTGTGGCCATCACCCCATGACACTGGCCCTGGGTTCTCCATCCCCTTTTCCTGCCAGCCTGGGACATGGATCTCAAGATTTCTCTCCACCTGATGCATGAGTTAGAGTTTGTCTCCATTATAGATTATTTCAATGACCCATTTTACAGCCTCACCTGATGAGCCAGCCAGCTCCTTCATCCTCCCATGATGCTGGTTGTTCCCAAAACCCAGCTCTGGGATGAAGGAGATGTTTCCTCCTCAAGCTGGAGTAGCTGCTAGTATGCAGGAACATACTGGCTTGAACTTTGCAAGGCTAAAAGGCAGGGGGACTTCTGTAAATCTGTTTTCTTCAGTGCTTGAGGCTGATGCTTGCTCCCCACCAGGAATTTCCATCTGGGCTGGGCACCAAGAGGGTGCAGGTGGGGAAGAGTTGGGGGGTGGTGGAGAAAAATACAGCTCCTGTGTTACCTGAGGGCAGCTCCTTGTGGCAGGGCTGGTTGCACTGTGTGTTTTTTTTCAGACTCCAGGCCTGTAGTTGGTGGTTATTATCAATCATTATTGTTTGTTGTTTAATTCCTACCAGCCTCCTGCAAAACAGGTTGGGTGAAGAGTGGCCTTCACCATGAGGTCCCGTGCCAGGAGTTGTGTGTGTGTGCATGAGGGAAATACAAACAAAGAGGTTTTTCTACCCAAACTCTTCCTGAGAGTGGTGTTGGAGGAGGGTGGCCTTGAGCTTTGCTGCTCTGTCCCATGGGGACCATGTCCAGCCTGTGTCCCAGCCCTGGGAATGACACTCCCATGCCTCTGGATGATACTCCAGCAGTGGTGACCACGTGTGGTCCAGCACAGCTGCAGCCAGGTGGGGAATTAAAGGAGCTATAAAAAACACACCCAGTAGGAAAAATACACCCAGTAGGCACTAGGAACAGGTTGTCCAGGGAGGTTGTGGCTGCCCCATCTCTGGCAGTGTTGAAGGGCAGGTTGGATGGGGCTTGGAGCAGCCTGGGCTGGTGGGAGGTGTCCCTGCCCATGCAGGGGGTTGGATCTGGATGATCTTGAAGGTCCCTTCCAACCCAAACAATTCTATGAATAACATTTTAAGTGCTGAGTGGTGATAATGAGCTGCTGGAGACCCTGCCAGGTGGTAGGTGTGAAGCTTGGAGCACCATTTTGGGGATCTTTAGGTGCTCTGCATCAGCTCAGATGAACGTTGGGAGTGGGAATATGCTGTAGCGTCCTGCTGAGCAGTGGGATGACCTGGCTCTTTGCTGTGGACAAGTGGTCCCACCCAGCGTGGACAGGGGTGTGTGTTGATGGCTCCTGGATGTGCCTGTGGCCACAGCTCTGCAGAGGCTTCATTGCAGGAGGTTTCCTTGGAAACTCAGCAGCTGGCACTGGAGGGAGCGTTTTTAGATGGCTTTGGGCCTGGTGGGAGGTGACCTGGGCAGGGCTGGAAGCAGTGGCTTTCCCCATGGCAAGGAGAGGGAAGCAGGATGCTCTGGCAGCTCCCACCAGCCCCTGTCCCTCCAGACCCTAACCCAGGGCTTTGTCATTGCAGGAGCAGGAAGATCCAGATCCGAAACATCCCGCCCCACCTGCAGTGGGAGGTAAGAAGGGGGCAGTCCTGAAACCATCCTAAAGTTCACCTCCTGCTCCAGCAGCTGGGCCAAGCTGTGCTGGGGGTCACTCCTGACCACTCTGGACCTCCCCAGTAACCCCAGGAGGGAGGTGGAGTGTAAACTGGGCTCCATCTCCCACCTGCTGGTGGGTCCCGCAGCGTCATTAGGATCATGGGATGTGGGTGAAGGCATCTGAGCGGTTGGGTGACAGTGGCTCTTGGGGGGGTGTCTGGGGGTGCAGCAGGCTCTCCTGCCCACCTCACCTTGCTGCTCTTTCCCCCAGGTGCTGGATGGCCTGTTAGCTGAGTATGGGACAGTGGAGAATGTAGAGCAAGGTAAGGTGGTCCACCACAGTGGTCTCTGTCAGTGCAAAAGCCCCCAGTGCTGCCCAGAGAAAACCCAGTGGGGTGTAAACTGGTTTCCCTAGTCATAGGTACTGGGCTAAAATGGTTTTCCCTGTGGAGACACCTCCGTGGTGGTGGCCATCAGTCCTCCCATCCCCAGGGCTTCTCCTGGCACGTGCAAACCCCCTGTCCCCACAAGCAGTGTGTGGGGGTCTGCTGGTAGAGCAGGGATATCCCACCAGCCCTCCATCCTCCTGCTGGGGTGCACGGGCACCTGGTGTGGGGCTGGGGGTGTCCCCAGGGGACAGGGCACTGCCCTCCCAACTGTCCCCACGAGCTTCAGGGCACCAGGGTCTCTCCTGCCCTGCTCTGAGGCTCCTTCTCTTGCTTCTCCCCCAGTCAACACCGACACAGAAACAGCCGTTGTCAACGTCACGTACGCCAGGAAAGAAGAAGCAAAAGTGTAAGTGGATTTTGTGTCGTTTTGGCCATATTTTCAGGCTACCTCAGCTTTTCCCAAGGAATCCCAGGGATTTTCCCTCAGACGTTTTTTCCACGCAGCTCCTCGTCCTCTCCCCAAGCCTCCTGGGGTTGTTTCTAAGTTCTTACAGTGCAAGTGCCCTCAGAGCTGTCCATGTATCTTCTCAGGATCCAGCAGGCAGGTTTTGGTGTTCATGTCATAGAATCACAGACTGGTTTGGGTTGGAATGGACCTTCAAGATCACCCAGATCCAATCCCCTGCATGGCAGGGACACCTCCCACCAGCCCAGGCTGCTCCAAGCCCCATCCAACCTGCCCTTCAACACTGCCAGGGATGGGGCAGCCACAGCTTCCCTGGGCACCCTGGGCCAGGCTCTCACCACTTTTCCATGCCCTAAGAGCCCTCAAGAGCATTTCCAGGCTGTGTGGTATCTTCTGGCCAGCACTTTTCCCTGGATGATGTGGCAGATCCCCAAGCTACTGTCCCAGCTCAGCTGCTGGGGACAAGCTGGTGTGCAACTCTCACCCACCTGGGAGGAGACACAGTTCCCACCACCCTGTGGGGGGTGCACAGGCAAACTGGGAGGTGGGGCAGCTCTGGCTTCCCGTGCCCACCTGGAGATGGAAGAGGGGAAGGTGCAGGGCTGGCGAGATGAGGTTCTGAAGGTCTAGCCCAGCCCTGAGGAGCCCCCTCACCACCCTCCACCTCCCCCTGCCTCGCAGAGCGGTGGAGAAGCTGAGCGGCCAGCAGTTTGAGAACTGTTCCTTCAAGGTGTCCTACATCCCGGATGAAGAGGTGAGCTCCCCTCCGCCCCCCCAGCGACCCCACCGCAGGGGACACACCTCCAGGGAGCGGGGCTCCTCCCCGGGGGGCTCCTCACAGCCCAAACACCTCGAGTTCCCACTGCGGATGCTGGTGCCCGCCCAGTTTGTTGGTGCCATCATAGGAAAGGAGGGCTTGACCATAAAGAACCTTACTAAGCAAACCCAGTCCAAGTAAGTACCTCCAATGGTTTCCTTTTCTTCCCTAGGGTGGTGTAGGTACCAGGCGTGGGTTCTTCCACCCACTTGGGGCTTTTGGAGTGCCAGTCAGTGCTGGCTTTTTGGGGTGCTGCCTTTTTTTTGGGGGGGTGATGGTCAGAGGTGGAAACCAACCCCATTTCCTAAACCAGTTCTTCTGGGGTCTGGGTGTGGAAGGAGAGGGGGATGTGTGTCCAAACAGGCTAGGACTGGGTTTCCAAAGCTGGAGCACAAAGATGGCTGGGGAGGAGGCTTCAGGAAAAAGGGGGGAAGGTGCTGAAGGGGGATCCTGTGGCCTTTCCCCTTGGGATTTGCCCATCCTGCTGTGCCCCACCTAGGCTGGAGCTGTTGTAGGGGGGGAAGGGGCAGGGTGGGAGCGGTGCCTGGAGAGGGTTGGGCTTTCCCTCACCTCTCGTTCCTGAAGAAACTTAAAAGCCACCCCAGAAAAAAAAAAAAAAAAGGGGAGGGGACATTTTCTTGCCAACATTTTCCATGTTTTCTCTTGTCAACATTCTCATTGATTTCACCTCTTTTGATTTTTCTGCCTTGGTTTTCCTTGCATGGTTTGTTCCTTGCCCGGATTTGTTTTGTGTCTAACCCAAACCTGTCTTCTCCCATGCTCATCATCCCGAACCCGGTGATCCCACGGGACATAGGACTCCTGTACCAGAACATCTTCCAGGGCCTCCTAGTTCTCAGAGAAGCTTGTAGAGGCAAATTGTTGGGTCACAAGAGTGGCCTCTTGGAGCAGGAGGTGGCGGGACCTGCCGCTCCGGAGCCCAACGTGGGGTTTGCAGGAAGAGGTTGGTACAGGGAAGGGGGCAGACATGTAGGGAGAAGTGCCCCTTCCAGCCTTTCTAGCCCTAGAATGTGGCCACCTAGTAGCTGTGAGCTGGTCCTGGCTGGCCCTTCTCCTCCAGGTGAGTCCCCTTGTGTGATGAGCAGAGAGTGTAGCCGCCTCTTGGCCAACCAAGACTGGAAGGTTGTTCTTTGCTAAGCCCTGAGCTGCTGTTTCTTCTCACCGTGAGGCCCAGCTCTGCTGCCTGGGGCAGTTTCTGCTGCCAAGTTGTCTCTCCTTGTGCCTGGCCCGAAGACCTGGTGCCACAGAGGAAGGTTTTGTCCCATGCTCTCTGTGTTCCTGCCTGAGGAGGCCACGTGCCATGGATGGGCCACCACCTCTGCTCCAGCCTTCATCTAGGGGAGACCTTGTGCCACCCAGGCAGCTGCAGAAGACCATTGCCTTCAGTTCGGGGGTGTTTTGCAGCTCTGTGCTTGTTCAGGCCACCTTGACCCACAAGGGTGCTGGTGACATCCTGTTGGCTGGTCCCTGCTCGTCGGGTCCCAGAGTCATGTAGGACTTCAGCTCTTGTCTCCACACACACAGTGATGCCCAGAGATGCTTCTAAGCTCCAGGGAAGAAAACTTGCTCCAGGCTGAGCCCAGACCAAGAGCCCACGCCACCAGAAGACCTTCTACAATCCTGGTAGTTTGATGAGGAGAGAGGACCATTTGTGCCCAGCAGCCACAGGACCAGGATAACCCTACATGCACACCTTGCCCTCCCCCTTGAGAGGGTTGTCTCTCCTGGCCACCACTCTTAGGAGCCTTCCCAGCTCCTCTAAGGTCTCTTGGAGGCTTTTTCCTGCTGCACCGTGAGCAAACCTGACCCAGCCCTGTCCCACCTCCATTGTCAGCTGCCCTTGTTTCCCCTGTCCACAGCACTCTGAGATCCCAGGCAGCTGCAGATGGTGTGAGAGGGTTGAGAGTCCCCTTCCCCATCCTCCTGTTGGACTGGAGCTGTGCAGCAGCAGGACTTGGGATGTCCTGATGAGTCCAGAGCCCTTCTCCACCCTCCAGCACTTCAGGGCTGAAGGCAGCAACCCCTTCCTGGTGCCCCATCTTCTGTCTCTGCAAGCTGAGCTTGTCCCTGCACATCCAGGTGTGGAATAGGCTGGAGGTCACCCAGAAACATGGCCCGTGTCCCTCTCCTGGACTTCTCTAGGATACTCATCCCTTGGGTGCATCCATCCTGCCCATCTGTGGCTCCTGGACCTTCTTTGGGACGAAGGCTTTGCCACCTGCCCCACGGGCCTGTCATCACCTCTGGTGGCACCTGGTGATGCCTTTGCTGTCTCCCTGGTGGAAGGGGTGTCAGTGGATGTCTCTGTGCGTGTTGGTGCTGCCTCTGAAGGAACGTGTCCTCCAAGTCAACCTGCTGGAGCTCTACAGCTGGGAGCACCTTGGAGGGTGTCACAGCACACCGCTGGGTCCCTGTGTGCTGTAGACATAACCAAGGGGAAGGGAGAGCCTGATGGTGCTGGTGGCTCCAGCACATCTTTGCCCACTCCAGGCAGGACCTGCCTCCTGCCTGAGCAGCTCTAGCTGAAGCCAGGGGAGATCTGGAGAGATGTAGCCTGCAGAGGAGATCAAACTGTTCATTCCCTCTTCAGTGTGCAGATGAAACTATCCTGGGGTTCCTTTTGAAGCTGTTGGTGTCAGGCTCTTCCTCCTCCACAGGGAAGGTCCACCTGGCTGCTCCAACTCTTCCTGCAGATGAAGTGTCCTTGCTCCTCTGCACTGGTTTCATGAGCTCCTGGAAGAGTTTTGACGTGTCCAAACCCACTGTGAGCCTGCAGCATCCAACTGTGGTGCTGGTTAGGGGTGACTCCTCACCACAACCCTTGGCCACGCACGCCCAGCAGCACCCGTGAATGATCCTGGTCAGGATGGAGACCTCTTCCCAATAAAAACCAGGGACATGGAGCTGAGCACTGGTGGCATTCACTGGGTGGCTGCGCAGTCACTGCTGCACCTTCTTCAGAAGACCTGGACCAGGCCAGCTCTGGCTGCAGCAGTGACAGGGACCACAAGGTGGTGGCATCATCCTCCAGTGGGAAGAGTGCATGGACTGGCATGGAGAAGATGGAAAGGTTGTGCTTCAAGGAGCGTGGGTTGCCCTGCTGGAGTCTCCTGCCCTGCTCTCCTCTCTCCCTCTCCCCCAGGGCCTTGGCCAGGTTGAGTGGTGAGGAGCGAGGCTGGAGGCACATGTCTCCTCCCCACCATGAGCTGAGGGGAGGACCAGAGGAGGTAGAGCAAGAGGAGAGTGCAGGGAGGGCGTGAGTACAAGCTGACCCCTGTCTCTGTGTGGTGGCAAAGTGCTGCTGTGGGTAAGTGGTGTCCCTGTCCTGAAGGACACGTGGGTCGCTGGACAGGCTTGGGTGTTGTGCAGAGAGAGAGAGGCTGAGGTTGGAAGAGACCCTCTGGAGATCTCAGGTCTGGCCTCCTGCTCCCAAGCGGGACCTGGTGTCAAGAGATGGTAGAGCCAGTTTTCTCAGGGCTTGGTCCAGTTGAGGTTCTGGCCCCTCTTGATGCATCATGCCACGTTGCTTGATGTCCCTCAGCTCCCAGGCAGACCTCGGGTCTGAAAGGTGGATGTAGCTCAGATCTGATCAAAGCCAGCAGAAGTGGAACACTGCATGGGCTTGCATGACACCAGGTGATGCTAGACACACATCAGGGAGGCCCAGCTTCACTCCAAAGCTTGAGCAGGTGTTGAAGGAGCTTTTCTGGGAAGAGGAAGCTCCTGAGCTCTGGAGAAGCCTTGGTAGGACACCAGCTGCGTCTCAGGGGGCTCCTCCTCTCTGCTGGTGGCTTCTCCACAGGGTTGACATCCATCGGAAGGAGAACGCCGGCGCTGCTGAGAAGCCCATCACCATCCATGCCTCTCCAGAGGGCTGCTCTGAAGCCTGCAGGATGATCCTGGACATCATGCAGAAGGAGGCTGAGGAAACCAAGTCGTAAGTGGCCCAGCGGAACGGGCAGGGGTGGTGGGAAGGGGAGAGAAGCCCAGCCATGGAATCTGTGTGCTGCTTGGGTTGGAAGGGACCTTCAAGACCATCCAGTCCCAGGGTTTGGGAGGCAGCCATGGGCAGGGACACCTCCCACCAGCCCAGGGTGCTCCAAGCCCCATCCAACCTGCCCTTCAACACTGCCAGGGATGGGGCAGCCACAGCTTCCCTGGGCAACCTGGGCCAGGCTCTCACCACCCTCACAGCAAAGAGTTTCTTCTTCATGTCCAGTCTAAATCTCCCCTCTTTCTCCTTGAGACCATTCCCCCTTGTCCTGCCACTACACACCCTTCTCCACCATCAGTGGAGAAGAAGCCATCTCCTGTTACCCTCTACCCCCTGAGGGAACTGCTGGCATTCCAAGTTTCTGGACAAGAGTCATGGGGTCAGTTAATAACTTCCAGCTTCATAACATCTCCATGTTGTGGTTGTTGATGCAGTAGAGACCAGAAGCTCAGGTGGTCCAAAGAGCACGTAGGCAAACCTTGGAAAACAAAACCACATGAGATACAGGCTTGGGAAGACCCTGAGTTCCTGTTCCCCAGAAGCTGAGGAGACACAGTGGTGGGAAACAGTGGTGGTTCTTCTGCTCCTTCCACTCGTTGGTGCCTGTTGTTGGAAATGGGGTTCCTGGCCAGGTGGTCCTGTAGATGTTATTTTTTTTCTATCCCTTTTAGTGCAGAAGAGATTCCCTTGAAAATCCTGGCCCACAACAGCCTGGTGGGGAGGCTGATTGGCAAGGAAGGCCGCAACCTCAAGAAGATCGAGCAGGACACGGGCACCAAGATCACCATCTCCCCGTAAGTCCTGGTGGCTTCCAAGCCACCCTCCTCCATCCAACACCACACGAGCAGAGCTGGAGCCAGGAAACAGCAGTTGGGTCCTTCCAATGTCCCATCCCACAGGATCACAGCCTGGCAGGGGTTGGGAGGGACCTCTGAAGATCATCCAGTCCAACCTCCCTGCCAGAGCAGGACCCAAACCAGAGCAGGTCACTCAGGCATCCAGACAGGGCTGGAAAGTCTCCAGAGAAGGAGACTCCACAGCCTCTCTGGGCAGCCTGTCCCAGGGCTCTGTCACCCTCACAGGAAAGAAGTTCTTCCTCATGTTGAGGTGGAACTTCCTGGGCTCCAGTTTGAATCCATTGCCCCTCGTCCTGTCCAGGGCACAAGTGACAAGAGCTTGTCCTGCCTTCTTGATGCCCTCATGTATTGATAGACATTCATTAGATCCCCCCTCAGGCTTCTCCTCTCCAGACTGAACAGCCCCAGGTCTCTCAGCCTTCCCCCATCAGGTGTTCCAGCCCCTTCATCATCCTTGTAGCCTCCCTTGGACTCTCCCCAGTAGATCCCTGTCCATCCCAGATGGATGGTGGTGTTTGGTGTGACCTCGGATGGGACCCTTCACTTGTTGAGTCCTTTCTTTCCCTGGCTTGGAGCAGAAGTGCTGATGGTTTCCCCTGGGGTAGTTTGCAGGACTTAACCCTGTACAACCCTGAGAGGACCATCACGGTGAAGGGCAGCACGGAGGCCTGTGCCAGTGCTGAGGTGGAGATCATGAAGAAGCTGAGAGAAGCCTACGAGAACGACGTGGTGGCCGTCAACGTAAGCTCCCCAGCCCAGGGGTGGCCCTGCCTCAGGGCCACTGCTGAGCTGGCCAGGAGGAAATTGAGGGGGGGACGGAGACAATCTGGTACTGCAAAGGGTTGGTCCTCACCCCTGGTGTCCACACGATGGGGAGAAGCCCCAAACCACCCCCCCAACTCTGGTCTTTTACACGTTTCTCTGTGTCTTTGCTTTCCCAGCAACAAGGGAACCTGATCCCAGGACTGAACCTCAGTGCTTTGGGCATCTTCTCCACGGGGTTGTCCATGCTCCCCTCCAGCCCAGGAGCCCGAGGAGCTGTGGCATCCACCCCCTACCACCCGTTTCCAGTAAGTGCAAGAGGTTGTGAGGTGCAGGGGGCATGTTCTTGGGGGGCAGAGTGGTCTCTAGACTCTCCTGCAGAACCTCTTGGATTTGGGTGGACACTGTAGCTGCTGGAGCCATCTCCCCATCAGGTGGCTCCTGTCTCATGGGGAGCCTTGAGCAAGGGCTCTGGCTCTTGGCTCTTTGGGGAAGATGCTCCTCCCAGAAGCCCAAGTGGAAAAGACAGGGAATGACCATGGCTTGTCCCTCCTTGGATTTAGCTCCCCAGGAGTATCAGCTGTATCCCCACCTTGTGCTGAGCTTGGTTTCACCCGTGTTGAAGGGACACTGGCCATGTCCCAAGGGGGTGCTGCTCTCTGGTGGTGGTTGGGCCCATGGAAAAACCCCACAGGTGGTCTTCAGCCCTGACCCCAACCCCCCCCCGGGCTGTGATGGTGTGAACTCTGGTCTTGGTGGCCACCTGAACCTGCTGGGATCGCCACAGGGGTGACGGGCCAGGCCAGCCTTGCCCTGTGCCACTAGCCTTGCTCCCTGCCCTGCCACCCCAAGGGTTGGTCCTTGCTGGGACTTGATCTCCACCCAGTCCCACCTCTTGAGGGTTTTCCTGGGGTTAACCAGCTGTTTTCCCTCCCTCCCGCCGGCAGCAGCAGAGCGGTCGGAGGAGGAGGGTGAGTGTGGGGCTGGGGGTGGACAGGGCCAGGGGGGCTGTGGTGGCCCCACAGGGCACCAGGGGGGTCGGTCTGTCTGTCTGTCCCTGCACTGCCAAGCCCACCCAGGGAGGATGCTCTGCCCACATGGAAACCTCTGCTGGAGTGTTGAGTGGTTGGATGGAGAGAAGCGGGGCAGGTCTCCTGAAGGGCAGTGGTCACTGGAGGTTGCTTCACCCCAAAGCTTTGCATGACCTTTTCCAAGCCCCTTGGCCTGGTGAGGCCAAGAGGAGCAGTTGACTCTGCCATCATGTTTTTTTATTATAAAGCAAGGAGCTGGGGAAAGGAAAGGAGAAGGAAACCAGGTTGGTTCTGTCCCAGGTCCCCAAGCCCTTTGTGTTTCACACCTCAGAGTGGTTGTTGCTCAGCTGGGGCTGGTGGCTGTAGCTTCAACCCTGCAGCTTTAGAGACCTGGCAAGGATGGAGAACAAGGAAAGACCCTCATGGTGAACAGCAGGAGGTGGGGGGTCCCCCCATGTCTGCCATCACCATCTGGGCAGGAGAGGACTCAGTGGGTGTAGGAGACATGGAGCTGGCCAGAAGCAGAGGGTGGACATGAGGAGCATGAGCACAGAACCTCAGAGCTGTGGGTGTAGGTGGAAGGAGAAGGGTGCCTGCTGTGGGCAGGGAGCCAGGTCTTCTCCTTCCAAGTGACTGTGGCTTGCAGGTAGCATCTGGTTGCTCTTGCCCAAACCTTAAAAGAGTGGGAGATGGGAGAGGAGCTGCATCTGCTGCCAGCAGAAACGCCTGATGGATTTGAGACACAGAAGAGTTGGGTTGGGTTGGGGTGCTGGCATGTACCCCTTGCTTCTGGCTAGGGAGAGACCCACAGGTTTCTCTGTGTCACTAGCCCAGAGCTTGGGAGAACATCTCCAGCCTTTGATTTTCTTCTGTTGGACCTGGAGAAGGGAGTTGATGGCAGAAATCAGAGCCAGGCCAGACTTTTTTTTTTTGTTCAGTCTTCACCAAACTTCCACCTTCTCCATGGTGGTCACCACATGGTTTTGGCTTTTCCAGGGTTGCTGCTGCTCCTCCAGAAGGCCAGTTTTCCACTCTTAAAACACTGGCAGGACACAGCCAGAAAGCAGCAGTGGGGAGGGACTGGTGGAACTGGGAGCTGCCATCCCTTCCCATCCCTGCGGCAGCCACAGGATCTACCCCAGCTGCACCCTTGGGTGCTCTGTGGAAGGGCTGCCTGGGGCTGAGGGGTTGTCCCCGTGTCCTTGCCCAGCCTCATGGTGGTGGCATTTCCCCCACGTTGGGCTGAGGGTGGCCAGGAAGGGGCTGGCATGTTGGGGACATCACTGACCCTCCTTTTCTCTCCCTCCACAGAGCTCCTCAGCTTATCTCTCGGGTCTGTACGGAGCCCCCCCAGCTGGCACCTTCCCCCACCAGCACCTTGTGAGTCCCTGGCACCCCTTCCAGGGGGTGGGGATGGTGGCAAGGGGGGACAGTCACCCCCACACCTCCCCTCCTGATGAAGCTGGTTTCCCTGAGTGTCTCACCCTTCCCTGCCCTGCAGGTGCCAGAGCAGGAGGTGGTGAACTTGTTCATCCCGACGCAGGCGGTTGGGGCCATCATTGGCAAGAAGGGGCAGCACATCAAGCAGCTGGCACGGTTTGCAGGAGCTTCCATCAAGGTGAGCAGGACACTCTGGGGATAACCTGCACCTCAGGCCTTGGCTTCCCCTTCCCTACCGCCCAGGGCAGCAAACGGGAGGGCCTCAGGCACCAGTTGTGCTTCCCCAGCTTAGTAGAAACCCATTTGCTGAGGCCTGGAACACCCTGGTGATCACCCTGTCCCTGTGGGGAGAACATCTCACATGGATAACTGTTTTGATTGGAAACGACCTTTAGGATCATCCAGCCCAACCACTAACCCAGCCCTGCCAAGGCCACCACTGTCCCATGTCCCTCAGCACCACATCTACAGGGCTTGGAAACCCCTCCAGGGATGGGGACTCCACCTGCCCTGGGCAGCCTGGGCCAGGGCCTGACAGCCCTTTGGGGAAGAAGTTTCTCCTCATGTCCCACCTCAGCCTCCCCTGGCACAACTTGAGGCTGTTTCCTTTTGTCCTGCCTCTTGTTCCTTGGGAGAAGAAAACAACCTCCCCTTTGCTCCATCCTCCTCTCAGGCAGTTGCAGAAAGTCAGAAGGTCTCTCCTCAGCCCCCTTCTCACCAGCTTGAACCCCCCCAGTTCCTTCAGCCACTCCTTGTGCTCCAGCCCCTTCCCCAGCTCCCTGGCCCTTCCCTGGACACGCTCCAGCCCCTCCATGTCCTTCTTGTCAAGAGGGGCTCAAAACCGACCCCAGGATTTGAGGTGTCCCCTCCCCAGTGCCCAGAACAGGGGGACAATCCCTGCCCTGCTCCTGCTGGCCCCACTAGTGCTGATACAAGCCAAGAAGCTTTTGGCCTTCTCGGCCAGCTGGGCACGTGCTGGCTCTTACCCAACTGCCATTGACCAACCAGGCCCTTTTTCCCCAGGCACTTCCCAGCCATCCTCCCCCAAGCCTTGGAGCACTCTGTGGGGTGGTTGTACCCCACGTTGGGAGGACCAGGCCTTGATTCATCCATCCAGGTCACTTTGCAAAGCCTTTCCACCTGCTGGGGCAGGTAGAGGAGATGTTGCCACAGCAGGGCCCACACTCATGCTCCTTCTCCCCCCCCCTGCAGATCACCCCGGCAGAGGGTCCCGATGCCAGCGAGCGCATGGTCATCATCACGGGGCCACCCGAGGCTCAGTTCAAGGTGTGTTGGGAGGGGGTGAAGGGGGTGGGAGATGCCAAGGGGCAACTTGAGAGCATCCCCATGGTCACCACGCTGCTGCCAAGCCTGGCTCTGCCTCCCTGGCTTTGTCTCCCCTCTCCCAGGGCAGCTCTAAGCTCAGCACCTCCAGGTTTTGATGCTGCCAACCGTGGGGCATGTCATCACCCTCAGGGACTTGGGGGGGGCCACCTGCCAGGACCACTGCCCACCCACTTTTTACTTCCCTTCTGTCTCCTCCCCAGGCCCAGGGGCGAATATTTGGGAAGCTGAAAGAGGAGAACTTCTTTAACCCCAAAGAAGAAGTGAAGCTTGAAGCCCACATCAAGGTGCCTTCCTTCGCCGCCGGCCGCGTCATTGGCAAAGGTGGCAAGACGGTAGGTGGGAACCCCTGGGGCTGCAGAGCTGGGGGACCACCCACCCCACCCCTGCCCACCCCAGGTTGGGGCCCAATGGTCTCAGCAACATCTTGACCCCAGCCCCATGTCCTGGTGGTGGGGTTGGTTGGGTGGGGATTGTCCTGAGGCAGGGAGCGTGGTGTGACCCTGGGCAGCCTGGTGCTGTGTGCTGGCTCAGGGCCATGGGGGGGACAACAGCAGTGGAGCATTTTTGGCTCCTGCACAACAAGCCAACCCCTCCCTGGGGCTCTGTTGGTTGCTCCAGGTGAATGAGCTGCAGAATTTAACCAGTGCAGAAGTCATTGTGCCACGAGACCAAACCCCGGATGAGAATGAGGAGGTCGTCGTGAAAATCATTGGGCACTTCTTTGCTAGTCAGGTAAGGTTGGGCCATGGCTTGGCCAGTGTTCCCAGTTACATCCATCTAGGAAAGCCACCAAGCATGGCTGTGCTGGAGCATCCTGCTGGTTCCTGCACACCCAGGATGCACTAAGGGTGTTTTGGGAGCTCTCCCTGGATAGGGTTAAAATAGCCCCATCCCTGGAAGTGTTGGATGATGGTTCCTTCCAACCTGAACCACTCCATGATTCTATGATTAAGACCATCCAGTCCCACCCCCTGCATGGGCAGGGACACCTCCCACCAGCCCAGGCTGCTCCAGGCCCCATCCAACCTGCCCTTCAACACTGCCAGGGA